TGTGTGTGTGTGTGTGTGTGTGTGTGTACGGAGAAGGCTGGAGAGAAGCCAGGGACAACAGCGAGAGGGCAAGTCCTAGGGCTGGACATAGGGAGGAGAGAACGGATTCAACACATGATTGGTGGGAGGGAAAATAAAGCTGACAGATGTAAAAGAAATCAGGAAAAGAGAAAGATGTGCACCCCCCCCCCCCCCAACACACACACACACACAGGGACGCAGGCAGGCAGGCATGCACACACATGCGCATTGTTGCTAAAGAACGGAGGCTGGGCCCACGGCTGCTGCGTTGCTCAGACAGAACTACATGCCATTATTTGGAAGCCATACCTTGTTTTGTTTAAGGGCACCTTTCTCCTTCATATGAGGGCAGTCCTTCCCTGTCACCACCGCTTTGATGTCTGCCACCGGCACTGCAATTCATAAAAGAAATGACAGTAACGCCACCGTGCCAAAGCTGAGATGCCAGCAGAGAAGCAGGACGGAGCATGGCGCCTGCTAGCCCAGCGGCCACCCCAGAAACCACAGCAAAGAGAAAGAAACCTGCAAAGAGGAAGAGAAGGCAGGCAGTGCCCAGGGCTTGGAAACGGATATATATTCTTATATTCTGGCAAAAAGCTTCCCTGGGGAGAAAAATCCATGTTGATAAACAGAATTTAGTTCATTAAGACAAATACCTAAAAAAAAAAAAAAAATCCCATGGCAGTCACGTGAAAAGTGACAGAATTAGAGGAGGCAGTCATGGTAACAGCAACAGTGGTACTGATACTGACATTGTGGAAGACACTGAGGGCCAAAAACAAGGCCAAGTGCTTCGAGTATCAGGGTCTCTCGATGAAGTATCTGCTTCTATTTAGTCTCCGAGTTTGGGTATGAGGAAAAGCAGCCCTATCATAAAACATTTATTTGACTAAACAGTCCTGAGCCCTCACTGTCATTCTCCCCGTCCCCAGCTCATTATTCCCACAACAGTTCTGCAAGGCAGGGCTCATTCTCCCTGTCTCACAGACAATGACACTGAACCGCAAGGAAGGGACTGTTCCTTCCTGATAGGAAATGGTAGCTGGTATTTCTCGCACAGTTAGATGAAAAGATGCTATCTCCTGTCTTACTCAGGATTTGAAAGGAGATAAAAAGAGATGGAAAGGTGTTTGCATTTAAAACGTTTTGTTAAAGTAACGAGAGAGAGAGAGAAGGGGGGGGGGGGACTTGGAACCTTAAAAAAAATTCAGTCACCTGTCCCTCTCCAATTACTAATCTTTTGTCCCATAAGAAACTGTGAGTCTCACTTCGGATCTGCGGAAGCTTTGAGTACTGAATTCTAAGTAATCAACCAGTAATTATTCCCTTAATGGCGAAGAAGACGAGAAATTCCACAATTAAAGTTCACATACTTTTAATGGGGAATTGAGTTGTGAGGGTCACACTTAGAGGATGACAGAATCATAACATAGACAGACTATCAAAGCGGTACAACAGGAAAACCCCTTAAAAGCTAACGTTTCCCAGGAACCCGGAAACAGATCAGAAGTGTGTGCAAATCTGCCGACATGCGGGGGCCTTCTCCAACCCGAGAGAAGACTGGGGCGGCCATCACCCTTTGGGAATCTCTGCACTCCGCCCCCCCGTGCGCCCTCCCCCCCTCTCCCCAGCCATCTGACCCACGGTGTCTGTTCCTTCACCTTGCAGTCCTGACTCTACAGCCCATTACTTGTACTCACTAATATCTGGCTTTCCTTTCTTTCCAGCATATGGACGACTACACTTCCCAGCAACCTTTGGGGCCAAGTGGTTAGTTCTGGCCAATGCAGTGTGAGGGGAAATGCCAGTCTCTTTAACTGAGGGAGGCGGGGAAAAGTCCATGCCCACCAGCCTCTCTCCCCGAGAAACTGAAGAGGCCGCATGTTCCATCCAGATGGCACGGCTAAGGGATGGCAGGGCAGCCACTGGCCCGTGTCCCCGAGGAAGTGGCCCATGTCAGTTACGTAACGCGGGGAGGGAACACGGACTCTGACTGTCCTGAGCACTGAGATTCGGGGTGTTTGTTCCTGCAGCGGAGCGGAGCCTTGCAGTCTACCCTGAGGGGCGGAACCTTCACCCTGGAGCCCGCTCCTGCCTCTGCCTCTCCCCCTCGCACTGGCAGGACCTGCAGTCGGTCCCGAAGCTTCCCGAACCCACTGCCGACGACAACTGCAAACGTCAGTTCTCCTCAAACCCAGGTTCACAACCGGCAAGCAGCCCTGTTCCTCTCGGTGGCCTGCCCGGCTGCCTATTGATGACCTTAGAGGGCAGGGCGTTTGGGGTAGTCAGGTTTACTGTTCAGTGGAGAAGCCACCACTGAAGTGGATTTGACACAATGAGCCACCGGTTCAGAAAGCCTTCCCCAGCGTCAGATGGCACATGAGTCATGAGTACCTCAGACGCAGGAGGTCTTTTGCTGCATAATCTGCAACACGGTCAGTGAACCAGTCTACAATCTATAAATAGTAGCTGCCCGTGGCTCCGAACCCACCATGCGGAAGGGGACACGATGAGCACGGAGGCTGTTGGGGGAGCAGCCTTCAGAGTCCAAGGAGAGGGCTCAGGGGGGAACGGGCGCTTTCCCACCTTGCTTGCGGCAGGACAGACTTCACATTCCTCACAGGCATTGTCCCTGTCAAGGAGACACGCTGCCTGTGACAGGAGTTCGGCTAAAAGGAAAACACTAATTCTAAAAGCACACAGTGGCTTTTAAAGGCCGTTCTTTGCCTACGTTGCCTCTTGGCAGCGGTTCTCAACCTGTGGGTCGCGACCCCTGAAAATACATCCTGCATATCAGATATTTACATGACGATTCATCACAGTAGCAGAATTACAGTTATGAAGTAGCAACGAAAATAATTTTATGGTTGGGGGTCACCACAACATGAGGAACTGTATTAAAGGGTCGCGGCATTAGGAAGGTTGAGAACCACTGCTCTAGAGGCACTGGAGAATTAGGCCCTCTCTATTGCCATGAGCAGAACCAGACTCATGGCTCTCTGAGAGAGCAGCAGAGGGCTCTGGGTGAGGTGAAAGCCAGGCAAGAGTTTCTATGAGGTCTTTTTTTTTGCAGGGGGGGTGGGCAGCATAGAGAAGTGGGGCCAAGAGATATGAGAACAGGATGGTCACTACTGGCACCCTACCCTCAACTCTAAATCCTTGGGGCATTGGTTTCATTTCTTTCTATGCTCTCTTCACTTTGAGCTGGATTGAGATGATCTAATTCAACACACCCACTGTACAGATGGGAAGACTGAGACCTAAGGAGAGGAAATAAAGATGTGAAGTCACATAGCTAGTGGGGGACAGAGCTGGGGTGATTGCTCTCTCTTCCCCTCCATGCTCCCTTGGTGGGCCATGATTTCTCCCCAGGTTTGGAAGGTGTCAGCACCCCACTCACACCAGAAACAGCCCTGATGTGGTTATCCCTTCAGAAACGTTCAGCAAACTCTTTGAGTGCTAACACCTATAGAAGGAACTTTCATTGTGACTTAAAACAAAAATACCATTGCACAAGTAAATATGGCCACCATGATAAACACAGTGTTGGTCTTCACCACAGGGAGCTGGTGGAGGCAGAAGTCTCCCAGGAAGTGGCTGGTGAGCTGAGCACCTGCTGTGGACACAGCCTCTGTGGGCGGAGTTACGGAGGAGGAGGGACAGGCTGGGCCCAGGGCAGCCTGTGAAGAATCCGGTCTGTAAGCCGGCAGCATGGGAGCCGCAGAGCCTGGCTTTGAAATCCAGACCCACCTACTGGCTGTCCCACGTGGGGCTGATGTCTGGGAGCCGAAGCCTCCTCGCCTGCAATGTGAAACGATGACATCATCCCCCTCAGAGGGCTGCTCTGATGTTGGAGCCACAATCACGGCTGCTTTTAATCCAGGCGGCGCAGAGCAGCGGTGCAAGGCTGGGCCATGGTGTTGGATGATGGCAATCAGATCTTTGTCCTACCACTTAGTAGCCATGTGACCCTGAACAAGTCACCTAATTTTCCTCTGCCTCAGTTTCCTTATCTGTAAAACAAGGGCAATGGTATCTACCTCGTCAGGTTGTCAGGAGGATGATTTAAGGTTCTTGGCACAGTGCCTGGCACAGAGTGAGCCCTCACTACATGTCATTTGGAGTTGTTTTCATTATCAATAATCAGAGTTCATTCTCTCGGTAGACTGGGGACGGGAATTACTCGCCGAGCATCACGGACCCACATCGCCCACTGGCTTTGTGGTCTCAGCCGCTCCTCTCGTCTTCCGTGATCGGCTTCATCGCCTTGTGTGTGGGGGCGTCGCCTCCTCCCGGCCCCTTTGATGTGGGAGTGCAGAGCGATGGCCTAGATTCTCTCAAAGGGAGGCACCGAGGGGCCGGGGCTGAAAGCCAATGCAGTCTAGTGTTCGTGGGGGTGATGTGGGCCTGTCAACCTGGTGGGGGCGGGGGGGCGAGGGGATGGAGGGAGATATGGATTTTTAAGGCCCTATTTCCTGTCAAACAAAACAAATATGATAAGAGGAACTGATTTCCTAAACCTTCAGGGATGGAGACAGCTACGGAGTCTCCCACCCTCCCCACGCTCTGTAGGAAGAGGATTCTGTGACGCTTCGATATCCAGCACTGATTGACTGAAGGGGCGGAAGGCAATGTCCCCCTTGGTCTCAAGGCAGGGCCGTGTCCCAGGCATGAACGATGGCACTGGACATTCACTGAAGGCCTGGTTCACGCCTCTGGTGGAATGACGTTTCTGACTTTTAAGGGCTCCAAGAGAAAGGGCCATTGGGCGCCAGGCAGGGTGTGTCGTTGGAATCACATGCAAACCAGGCAGCAGGCTTGAGCCAGCAGACTTAGTGTCCGAGGCCAGGCCTTCTCAGCTCAGGCACATCATAGCTTCACTTGACGTCATTACATGGATACACCCCCTCTGGACAGATGTGCACACAGATGTGCTGTCTCCAATGCGCACACACATACACACGCGCACACACATACCTGCACACCTATGGGTTCTTGGTTTAGAGGGCAGTGGATGGGTCCTCATCCCTAGAATCTGATTCGGCAGGTCTGGGAGTGAGGCCTACACTCTGCATTTCTAGGAAGTCCCCCAGGGATGCTGGTCCCAGACCCATCCTCAGAGCCACGGGTCCAGCTTGTCCACAGTGGGGTAGGGAGTGTTTCCTGAGACCTGAGGGAGGGTCCTCCTTACAGACAGAGGCCCAGGTGCCCACTGCAGGGGCACAGGCACTGCCCCAGGCTCTGCAGCGAAAGGGTTCCCTTTCCTTCTCTTCCCATGAACAGTGCCAACAACAGCGCTGGGAGGCAGTGCGCCTACGAAAGGAGACTGCGTTCTGAGCCAAATGACACTACAAAGCCCGGACCGCCCCACTTTTGAGCTGGAGGAGGAGAGAAGGTCCCGGCTGCCTGACATGTCAGCAGAGTCTGACTTTGTCAGGATTTTCCCCTCTTGGGCTATTTTCGCCTTCGATGCCATGGGCTTCAAGGGAGGCCAGACAGACTTGACCTCCGTGGGCCTGGGATGACGAGAGGTTAGGTGCAGGCACTTGGGGGTCAGTGCTCCATCTGGGACCCACGGATAGGACTCACTGCAGGGCCGGTGTGACTTACAAAGGCTGCTTACAGTGTCTTTATTTTTCTCCTTCTTTGATTTCTCTTCCTGGGATACCTTCTGAGGCTGTGTTCATTTCGTCTCATTTCTCTCTCAAATTAATTCATTGGCTTGTATACTTTAATGTTTCTATAATCCTCCCTTTAATGTGTATACTTAATAGTGCCTAAGAAAACCTGTAACCTGGTTTGGTGTTGGGCTAAAATAATCTATCAAAGTACTGGTTATTCAAAATGCATACATTAAAACAGATGTCTTACAGAAAAAGCAAATAAATACAACTAATATATATTTCAGGGAATATTTAGGAAACAATAACATGCAGATCACTGTAAATTCCCAGTGTCTGTGCTACGTCTTTGGAGAAGTTGGGAAACAGAGGCAGAGAGTACCTTTTCTAGACAAAGAGCTTAAATGCGACCGCCATCTTTGTGCCGTCTCAAGGCTGTGCTTAGCTGCTGCCTCCTCCGGGAAGCTCTCTTTGATTACTGCAGCGTATTTGGGCCTGCCATTAGCTTTGCATCAGATTATGGGATACACTGGACTATAACAAGTAAATGTGGGCGGCGTCATGATTATTTCCGTCTGAAACAGCACCTGGGTAAGTCATGTGAAAGTGGACGACGGAACCCCAGGTTCACACCCTTTTCCGCCTTCCCTGTCCAGTCCCCAGCACGAAGCCACAAAGGTCTTGTGCTTCCTGAGGACGCCCAGGCCAGGACTTACGGTGGTTTATGTAGGCGGATGGATAGCTTTTCTGCATGATATTTAGTGACCGTGAAACAAGCAAGACCCGCCCCCCCACCTCCGGCCGCCCGCGGGAGGGCACTTACGCTTGTCCTGCAAGGAGTCGTGGGGCACCTCTCCCTGAGGACTCTCCTCCAGGTCTCCGTAGTGCAGGACCTTGTGGTTGGGGGAGAGCCGGCAATACCAGAACTTGTCTGAGGAGGAGAACACAGAGAGGCACAGGTGAGGGGTCGGGTTTCCCACGGCCCTGCCAAAACACTCATGTCCTGACAGCACCGCCTGGAGAACAGGCCATGCATCCCATGCCTTCGGGAAGGAATGGGTTCTAAGTTCTTGATGGAGGGGCGGCGGGGATATCTGTTCCCCCGCTGAGAAGCTGGGACAGGCCTCAGCAACGCCGCCAGCACTGCAGGGAAAAGCAGGAACAGAGCAGGTCCCCGGGACAACGTCTGCTTATGTTCAGAAGCTACTAGAGAAGAGGGGCTGCTTATCTGGCTCCAGGAGGCAAAACCACCATCTTCCTTGCAAAGTTGCCATCAATGTTTATTCCAAAACATGCAAGAGGCTAACGAGCTTGACCGCAGCAATATCTGACGTAACGGCTGATGGCATTTCCTGCGGCCGGAGGCTCACAATCTCTTGACCCGACCTCGCTGCCCAGCGCTTCTCCTGTCCCACGGAAGCTCCTCTTTCTCTGTCTACACTAAGAAGCCGGAGAGCAGAGAGCACCGCGCATCACCGCTGTCAGCGAGGAGGAAGAGGAAGTCGGACGGACGGCAAAGGGGACTGAGAGGCTGGGAGGCTGCTGACTCCTGAGAATCAAACGCTGGTACTCAGCCGGGTCTCCCGCGGGATAAGGGCTGACGGACTGCGCGCTGGGAAGACTGGTGGCACCCTAACCTGGTTATGTCTGCCGAGAAGGTAGAGCGGCTCTAAGGAAAGGCAGAGGCCCAGCTCCGACCAGCACAGCGCCCCCTCATGCGGAAGACGTTTCAGCGTCAGCCGCCAGCGGCAGCCTGATTAGCAGTCTCTTTCATGGTAAGAAAAGTATGTGTTTTCTTTTCAAAGCCCAGCATGATGGTACCAGCTCCTCAGTCCCTCTGGGCAATGAGTGAGTGGACTGTGTCACTAACAGCAATTAGAAGAAGCAGTGAGAACACTGTCAAAGGTTGTTTACTAGCATTTAACTCAGGAGTTACTGCAGAGGTCTCCCAGGCAATTAGGAATTTAGGACATTAACAGCCATCTCTTCCTTCCCCAAACTCCAAAACTAAAGTATGGAGACAATTCTTTCTCTCTCTCTCTCTCTCTCTCTCTCTCTCTCTCTCCCCGAAGGATCACAGGGAAAAGCTGGTTTCAAAACACAAGCCTGGGAAGGTCTCCAGGGCTGATT